ATGTGCACTTAACTGCACTTTCATGCATGCATGCATGCCTGCACAAACACTTGTGAATACTTAAAAAATATATCGATTTAGTGATTGCTTTACCTTTCCCAATAAACATATATGTCATTGGCAAAAGTTTGCCAAAGTTTGTGTTGTTTTTGTTTTTTTTTCTTTTTCTTTTTCTTTCTTTCTTTCTTTCTTTCTTACTTATTTCTCGCACTCATACAACTCTTCAAAATGGCAAACGAACCGACTGAAAGTCAATTTTTTTATGCGTAAAAAAATCTCCATCACCATCACGAGTATTCCATTTGTAACACTTAGATATATAAATTAAAAGCTCTTTGAATTTATCATTGATTTAGAATCGATTTAACCAAATGTTTACTCCTATCACAAGCGACATATGTATTGTTAGATCGATTTCGATTCAAAAAAAAAAAAAAAAAAAAAAAAAATCATCTAAACAATGGCTTAGAAAGTGAACAAATGCGATGGACAAGTGTTAGCGGACAAAATTCACGATGAAAAAGCTCTCAAAAAGTTTCGTAACGACTTTTACTTTACATACTACACTACCTGTGATGCACGGTATACTAAGTTTGCATGTGTGCATGTATGTATGTCACAATCAGTAAAGCCAATTGAATATGTATACAATGGGACCATTTTTACTGCCGTTTTTCATATAACGCTTGTTGCTGTTCAAACAATTGCACTACACAAAATTCCTCGATAGAAATCGCGAATTAACAATATTTCGTTGCGTTAAATTGATGTGAAAAATACGGGTCAAATGAGCCGAATGTTTTCATCCGCTTTCTAACACGATCGTTCCAATTGTTCGGGTAAGTCTTCTCATGACGGAATGGTCGAATTTTTAATATTTCACAGTCAGAATTAATGCCCAATAACAGTTTGACATAAAAATCAACTGTCATCTTATGTAATGTTAATCTTATGTACCCCATACCGGGTAAACATTTTGATGAAAAAATTCCTTCTACGAGCAAACAAACTATTTTTTTAATATTTCCTAATGAAAATGGATCCCTAACAGAGTGTTCCCGTAAAAATTAACTGTACCAAGTTTGGATTCCATATGTCTAATTTTTGGACACCATCTAATGTAAAAGGTACGCATGGAAAATAAGCCATTGTATGGCAACGAAGTCTTAATTGTAGTTGAGCATAACAATAGAGCCTTTGACGAGAACATTAATTTTGATAAACATATACAACGTCATAGTGTTGAGTAATGGGTGTAGGGTACCTAACGATCAACTATCCCCCGAATATAAGTGTTCTACTTGTTTCTCTACATTAAGTAGCCGCAAATAATTTTCAAGCTAATCAACATGCAGCTTGATCACTAAACTACATACACAGACATCGTACAAACACAGTGCAGTTAACTTCGAATTGATTCAGAAAATGATTCTTAGTCGATTGATGTATTAAAATCTCATTCTATCTAACAGATTATGTTGAGTATAAAAAGATAGGAACTTGCAATATACCTTCGAAAGGAAAGTAGGATGTATCGATCCGCCCGTAAGAGCTATTTCACATAATATGATATACAATCGATTTAATTACTTTGTATGACCTTTCTTCACTTTGTATGCCCTCATAAGAAGAAGCTCACTTATATCATCTTTATCGAATACACTTAACACTTACGCAAGCAAGTACGCATTGGAGATACCGTACTAAGCAACACTATGCATTCTTTATAGGTAAAGCAAAACCAATCTGTTCAGCGATGTCAACGCCCATTAAAATGGCAACTAAATGTTTCCAAAAAAGCAAGCTTGGTTGCAATCCTCCCTTGTTTGTTAACTATTGTCCCTTCAACTCCAAATGTAAACTGAGTGCGTAACTTTGCGTCGCTTATATTTTATACAAATCAAGTTCGAATATCTCGCCTAAATTGAGCGAAGAATTCGTATACGATTAGCGAAAATGTCTCTACGAACTAAAGCTTTGCTTATAATTTATGAATGCGATTAAGAGAATGATATTAAAAAGTGTTGTATCAAGTCTCTCATATTATGCGTATTTGCTGCTTGCATAAACACCATTTTATCTTTTGTATTATAATCGATTGTATTCAACGAAAAGCGTACTACATTCCAAGTCCAATATATCCGGTAAAGTTTTATTATATGAAATGGAGTGCTTAGAGAAGCCATAATATACGACATGTTGACTATAATCTCCGAATGCTTTTTCGACCATTTTAAAATCAAGAAAGAAAAGTATTTCTATAAATTTGGAAAATTCATAAATTTCTTACAGAATATATAGCAAAGAATTAGCAAAGTAGTTGAAAAATACCACGGAAAGGCAATGTGATCCGAATCATTTTAAATGGCGTTTGTCCTTCGGCCAAAACACGTCAATATATTAAATTTTATCGAAATATATCAAAAATTGCCACATCTAGGTAGAACCGAAGAAAGCAAGACGGGCAGACGGGCAGACGGGCAAACAAGATTAGATCGTTTCCGAAAGTGATTCTGAATATATCGAGAAAATAAATGATTGAGATGACTGAGATTCCAACAAACTTAGTACACACTTGCCGCCATAAATGGTGTACGGTATAAAAAAAGATTAAATCAGTAGTGGACGTTTGTCAAACCATTCAGAAAACTAAATGTGATAGGTAAACAGTTGCCGGGTTAGCAAAAGCAGTAAACATTTTGTCCACATTAAAGAACACTACTTGAATGATGGAATGATCGGATTAATTTGATTTCCAGGCGATATCTTATTACAGTTATAAGAGTTTTTATTTCACTGACATTACTATCGACATCTCTGGCCTAATCAAAGAGCAAGTAATTTAAAATGAAATACTTAACTACTTAAGAACTTTTAGAAAGCGAGGAGAAGCGAGTAGTAAGATATGGATCGTAACAAAGGGAATCACTAAAAGGCATCCTTAGGCACGGAGAGCAGTGACACGTAACGTGTAATTGATAAAACAGTGCGCGACACAATGCTCAAAGCAACGCAAATAGACAGATAACGAGACCTGCGTCGATGACGGGCTAAAGGCTGACTGCACACATACATAAATCATCAGATCATTTCAGTCCACATTAATGTGAAATGTGCCCCATGTGTCTGACAAAAGCCATTTTATCAGATGTTCGTTACACTCTCAAGCGTGAAACATCAGCTTATTTCACTTCAATACCATTACAACTAACTTACTACCTATCTATTGACTTCCCTGCGTAAACGTTGTTGTTTCGAGCAAGCCTTGAATGAACTGAAATTATTTAGCATTTCATGTAAATAGGTGGGCGTTAACAAAGTTAACTTAGTTAAACAGTTTTGGGAGAATCTACTTATTGCAGAACCAACAAAGAATTCGCCCCGCATTGTCTGTAAACGATTTGGTTTTCTCGCTTCTTCTATTCTAATTTAAGTGTGATGTGATTCCACGTTTAATAAAACTAAGCTTACAAGGCATGAAATCGTTTGAATTATGCAAGAGTTTTCCATTGAAACTTTCACCATTCACCGGCTTGGCAATAAATAATAGAAACCTGCTTACCGAGCTTGTTTCCAGCAGGCCGTGCAGATAAGCGGGTGTACAGTCTTATCGGCATTAAGGTTAATATTTATATTATTTACACGCAACCTAAACGACCGATACGTTCAGCACTGCTCGAGATTCACTACATAGCGGTTAATATTTTCACGATACCGATGGCCAAAGCGTACGAATTGAAGTAGGCGTTAATGTAACAATTTTCACGTATTTTCACTTCTTTTCTGCCGATAATCACTATTAGGCACGCCTTTGTGTACAAGCTCTTTTTTCTTAACCTTCCATAAATCAGAAGTGCAACGTAACGCAAGGGAGAGTAAGTTGAAATTTCTCTCTTCTCAAATCAAATCGAACATCTTCAACTTACTCTGCTACTCTGCTAGTTTCCTAATACGCTGGAGGCATAGGAACTTTATGAATTACCCTAACTTTCGGATTGTTTTCGTTTATATTGACTTTGCTTAACTTGAGTTCTCTATCAATTCTTAGTAACGGCTAAAAAGCGTAGATAGATAAAACGATATATAGAACTTACTAGAGTTTAGGCAGGTTAATCGTCGTCGTTGTCTGTATTGATTTCCCTGTGAAAAGAGGATGCAATGAATCGAATCGATTCTCTCTTAGACTACCTGCACGAAAGAAAGGCGAGACCTTGACTGTCCTGTAAATCCTGTAAAAAAAAAAATGTAGGTCTTTTGTTTTTTTAATCATTTTCTCAAGTTGCTTTATTAAATTTCCAAATTTCGAAAAAAAGGAAAAAAAAAAAAACGAAAAACTAAAGTTTTATGGCCTAGAAAACCTGTAACCTGTAAAGTTTACGAAAAGCAATCAGCAGGCAAAACTGTGGTCCTTGCTATGGTAGCGAAACTATTTTGTTACTTGCAAGGAAAACTGGAAATTTTAAATGTAATATAAAAAAATTGTTTAAATTTTGAATGTAACCCAAGGTATTCTTCTGCTATTAATATGATATTTTCCCTCTTTTATACTTCTCTATTTTCAGACTTGAAAGCCATCGATGGTGCAGCCACCTACAATTAAATGTTAATATATATGAATATTGTCGAAAACGAAGAAGAGAAACAAGAGCATTTATTATGCATTTGTAATGCAATAATTTGTCGAAAAAATATTAAGCCTATTTAATATTTTTGCATTAATTAATTAATTGCATATATTTGAATTGATTGATTATATAATATTGAATATTTAAAATTTTTATTGATTTCTTTGAGGCTTAATATTATTTTGATAACCTAATCGAAATGTTTATTTGTATATATACGTATGCAACTTTTTGTGAGTCTCCATGGTATACAAAATGGTTATGGTTGCTTGGACGATATTGTGACTGTAAGTGAGTGTTTTTGCAAACTGTTACCAATAATAACAACAAAACAAAAAAAAAATAAATAAATAAATAAAATAAAAAATTAAAAAAAAAGCAATATTGCAATTTAACTGTGTAACATATGTGTGTGTATGTATATTTAAGTTTATCTGTGAATGTACTTACATTGGGATCTGTGTAATAATGTGTTTATATTAACATACATATCTCTAAACATATGTATGTGTGTTTGTATTTGTGATTACTTACATCGATATCAGATTAAGCCAAAGTGCAATCGACCATCAACAATTGCAAACGCTATAATAATAATAATAATAATAACAAAAACAAAAACAATAGCGACTCTACACTAAATTCCAAACACCAGCAATAACAACCACAGAAGCAGCAACATTAAAGCCAAGGTAAGTGAACAGCAGATATTATATGCACTGAATAGAGCGGAGTAGTTAATGGATAAGAAGATGTATGAGTGCGTGTGTTTGTCCGCCGCTCGTATATATATATATATATGTATGTATATATATACATGTTTATATATATATACATATATATATACATATATATATATATATATATATGTGTGTGTGTATGTGTGATTGTATATATGTAAAAAAAGTACAACTTTAGATATTGTACCGAGAAGCGATATAAAGCGAAAATAGAGTAATTTATTTGCTTAGTGCCAAGTTTGGCAACACAAATGCGGTCTGACGTTTGCTATTGTAACGACTCACACATGTGCTTGCATTCTTATATAAATACAGTACATACAGTAAAGAAGAGGGCGTCTATAGATATGTATTGATATACGTATAGGAGCGTATATGTACATAGGGCTACATACGAAAAAACCAAAAGCACGTATCATATACACAACGTTCATTGTGTTGGTTATACAATAAAACACGTATGTTACAAATATTTCACTATCGAATTGTTTTATTGTAGTTGCTCTTGTTGTAGCTGTAGTTGTTATTACAAGTTTTGTAGTAATTTGAAATTTCAAAAACAAAAAAAAAAAAAAAAAACAAAAAAACAAAAAAAAGAAACACAAAGTATGCTCACACACATACACACTTATGCATACATGAATATGTATATATATATATATGGATGTATATACATGTACATATGCATGTGTATTTAGGTACACGTCCGAAATGTAATCCACATGGATATGTACATGATTACAAGAAAATTTATACACCGTACACAATGAATACAATGTGTCCCGGACGCTGAATAAAAGACCATAAATTCAAAATATAAGACAATAAGTTCCGTTCGTTGCTACTGACGTTTAAACTTCACATACAAAATCTTAGAGTTGGAGTTAGATGCATATAAATGTATATGTGCATGAGTAAATGAATGCATTAAGCGCCTGCTGGTATGCAATGTTAACTATATTACATATATATGGTTTTGGTGTGTGTGTTTTTCTCTTCTTTTGTTTTTTTTTTTGTTTTTTTTGTTTTTTGTTTTTTTTTTTTTTTTGTTTTCGCAAATTTAACCCTTGGGGGCTACATCCGTTTTTCTATCTGCTGCCAGTCTACACTGTAAAGTCCTTTTATATAAATGTTATTGTTTTCTAAACAACGTTGCTGGTGTTGCTTTAGAGTTATTGTTATTGTGACCGATACTACTACACACGTTTACGTGCATAGGTGTCTATTGATCTCGAGTTTTAATATCCCTCCAAAGCATTTTCACCGTCTCCATCTTCAAGTACGATGTGCAGCTCCTTTATTCGTTTTCGTTTAAAAAAAAAATGCAAAAAAATCAAACCAATGTTGTTGTGGTTAACTATATTCTATGTATGGTATATGTACATATATGTAGCTGTGTATGTATAGATTATTTCGTATCACATAGCATAGTAATAATTTTTCTCCCTTGTAGTAGAACTTCCTTTTGTACAGGAAGGACATTCGAAACAAACCATCGGAAGGAAACACTGAAAATTTTGTTGTTTTCGTCTTGTTCCGCTTTAATGCATTTATAACAGGTTGGCAAAAAAAAAAAAAAAAGTGAAAAATTAGTCTCGATCTTATATATCTTTTTACGTCCATAGAACTCCTACTGCTCATTCAATGCGATTTTATTTCATCATCCATAGTAAGAGTTAGCATATTAAAGAAGTGAACAGTAATCGAAGGACATCGGGAAAGTAAGGCTTAGCGGATATATTATCTCCTCGCATACGAGTCAATGCAGTCGCATTAAGGCCTTGCACGCCAAATCTAACTTAATCTGTTATTCACTAAATGATAATCTGGTAGTTTGGTTCATGGACATTCTTCACTGGCAGCGCCCTCTGTATTGAAGCTGGTCCGTAAGTTGTGCAGACTTTTCCAGTTTAGACCGTGCTTATTTTCGAACCTACACAATTATCATGCATATCGAAGATATTCTTCCGTCTTTATGAAAAAGAAATTACTTTCACAACACGATTTTTAATTGGTTTTATTACAATATCTCGGATGATTATATATTGAACGTCTTCCCCTATATCTGTGTTTGCAATTCTTTCTCGCTAGTAATTGATCGATCAGAATATGCACAAGTTTTCTGGAGGGAATTCGTACGAAACAAGTAAGAAGATTATATTCGGTCGTAACGGAATCTTTTATACCCATCTCCGCAATCCTAAGACACGCTAGAAGAAAGAGAAAAACTAAATTTTCCTACTCTACAATGTGGCTTCTGTTTTCTGGATAAAAATGAACATTCATATATTGTATCTGTTTTACTGCATGGGTAAAAAGCAAAAAAGCAAGAAGCGGAAAACAAAAATATTCACAGTTGTCGTTGCATACATGTGGGTGTTGTAGGCGTGCTATTTGACCGATTTAAGTCATTTTCAAATTTTTTTTTTTGCATATTTGTAGGCGACGTTTAGCACAGATACTAATCGGTTGGACACACGGATGTGCTTATGCGCATTCCGAATTTGACACTGTCGTATCATTTATATACTGCATAGAGTTTTTGAAGCTTGCTTCAGTACGTTAGAAAGGCATTGAAAGAAAAAATGGGATGGTCGATTTTTCCCATTTTTATGCAAGTACTATGGCTTCGCCCATAGAAAATACGCTGAAATTTATTTAGATTTATCTGCTGTAGTTTATAAGTAATTGCGCTAAAAACCAACATTTTATTACTATTAAAAAACAAAACGTTCTCCCCACTTTACATGTCTTTTGACCAAATTGACCCATCTTCAATGCTAATCTGCGTTCAAGAATTTCCAATGTTTCTGTCAAATTTAAAGACAATAGCGACGAGAAGAATGTTTACAACGGATATTATACAGATGGACAGACGGACAGACCGACATTATTAAGTCGCTTTAGAATTTGATGTTGAAATATATAAATATTTCGTGAGGTATCTGGAGCTTACTCTGGGCTTTGCAAACGTGTTGACAAAATGGCTGCACCCCTCCTCCTTTCGTGACGGCTATCGAACTTAATTCGATCTTTGTATTGTTTTAAAACATAAATCGTTCTTTCATCGAAGATCGCATCGATTGTCTAGCAAATAGAAAATGTAAGTGGCTTGAAAGATTGATTAACAGTGTTTTGAATAACATATTTTTTGCTTATTTGCGTTACATAAATGAATTTGAGCGCACAGAAAACGTGAGATATGTACACAGAACTGAAATGAAAAGTCATCCAATAAGAGATATCACTGTAAATTTCATATCATCTCTGAAACTCTAATCTGCAATTCTCACTCCCTCACGTCATTTGACATAGCCATACAATGAAAGGTTCTCAAGTGCACGACGTAGTGAAATTCAAATAATATTTCAAGAATTTTTGTTTAATAAAATCATTTTAAGTGATAAACTCGCTGATTGACTTGACTAGACACGTAAGTAAGCAAAACAAAAATTTCATCTGGGAGTCTGAAAACCTAAAAGTAATACTTAAAGAACTTCTTTAGTTATGATGACAATATATAATAGTACAATGCATTTTTGATGTTGGCTTACTGGCTATGTGGCTTACTGTGAATGGATAGATTCCCTAAGAATAACGCTTAACTTTCTTCTTTCTGATACGACGCGTCCGAAAAATGACGATAGATTTTCTCGAAAGATTTCCTTGAAAGATCTTCGCGATGAACTGATAACCTAAATAAAATGAAAATATTAAAATTGAAACTAATACTCAAAGAAGCTGCAAAAGATCGATTATGTCAGCTCTCCAAACTTTATTGACTCCCGTTTGTGTGAACATACGATTATATATTTGTGTCTAAATTGGACCAAGTGACTATGCAAGAGCAAGGCTTTTCTCTATTAATTGCATGCCAATGAAGATAGAAATGTGTTACCGCATCATGAAAATCGTTCGGTGATAGATATAGAAATTCTGTAATTATTTATTTGATCGGCTGATTGAAATGCCTATGGTTTCAAAAGCGAATCCTATTTCCCGCCTCGCATTATCTCTATAATCTTGGGCCCAGTGCTAGGAAATTACATCACTTAAGGGTAAATTCTTAATCAATGAACAACAATTTGCTTATGACATACATCATCTGATCGTATGACCACATATATATGTACCCCAGTGCCCATACTTACTCTAGTTAATGCCAATAATTTAAAATCAATTCGTACACATAATGTAAACGAAGTGATTTTCTTATTTAAACAGCAATAATGTGAATAATAATAACAATAACAACAACAGCAGCAGCAGCGGCAGCAGCGGTAACAGAAACAACAACAATAGCAACCAAAATAACATCAGAAAAGTTAAAATTTACTAAACCAAATTAAATTTTGTGGCGGTAACGCCCCTATTAATGCCTTGCGGTAGGTAGGTATTGGTTTCGTTAACAAAAGCAAAAAAGAAGCAAAAACAAAAAAAAAAAAACCCACCGAAGAAAAATGATGTGAAAAGGCTGGTTTCGTCTCGTCTATATGAAAACAAATGAAAATGGACACAAAAATATATTAAAATGAAACTTTTTGTTATTCGTGGATTGTGCACGCTGTGGCCCAAAATGCCACACCTGTGTAACGACTTTACTTTTCTTCTGGGGCGATTATGATGCGAACTGTCTGTGAAATGTATGCAGAGCAATGCAAGGCGATGTTACCATTATTATGCAATATTTGATTTTACAACAAAAACAAACTGACAATGGATTGTTTTAATTTTTTTTTTTTGACTTGTTTTGATATTGTGGACTCTTGTATTTAGGAAAACAAAAAATATTTTTTTTTTACGGCCGCATACACATACAACTAAAAGGTCATTTTTATCAATGATACATAAATTAGAGAATTGTCTTGATTTTAAATAACATTTGAAAATAAAAATCGCGTTATATTTTTATTGTATTTTTATCAAAAACATTTCAATTTAGCCTTTGATCTGTTGAAATTTAACCAGTTGTGGTTTTAAGTTTTATTTTATGTTATTTCTGTTTTTTTTTTTCTTATTTTGAAAAAAGTTGTTTGACAAATCCGCTAACACGTGAGAAGGTGGAAAGATAAAAGAAGAAAGAATTATTTTAAGCCTTTCTTATTAAATTAATTAAATCGTTTGTTAATTATGGTCAGTAGATCGATTAATTCTCTCGCCGCTAAGATGCCCTTCGCTCGGAATGACTTCATTCTGAAGAACTGGATATTATTCTTTGAAAAGTCCCCAAGAAAGCTCCAGTACTAGCGAAGCATAGCTATCGAAATTATCTTAGTGCAATATGATGTAAATGAAAAAAATCACAAAAGAAAAGTGAATTGAGTTTCCGCGTGTGACTATGCACGAAGACGCGATGAACTCCTGCCCCTTTGCTGAAGCTCTTAGTAATAAAGAATATCCAAAAATGCTTGATTCATAATTAATCTATGGTCAAAATGAGACAAGTCTGCAAGCCTGGAAGGTAACGCTCTCTAAGTTTAGATGATTTTGTGATGAGATCGTGAAAATAGTGCGGCTGTAGTTAAAGAGGTTTCACCTGTAGCGTGATCTTTTAGACCTCCACTTAAGCGAAACACGCGGACAGAAAGTCAGAAAACTTTTATCGTACGCAATATCGTTCACGTCATCTTGCATATATTTTCCAGGCTATACTGAAAGTTAAGTGCGTATAGCTAGAACTTTTGAAGTTTTCTTTTGGTTCCTGCAGATCTTTCCGAATGATAATAAAACAGTGCCGTTAAACAATGATCGTTGGTTTGAAAATTTTAAATTTGGCTTCTAAGAGAACCAAAAATAAACGTAAATAAAAAAAAAAAAAACTCCTGATTGAGATTCGAAGCAAATATATTTTTCAATATATTGTTTTGGTCTTGCCACTATTACATACATAGTTTCAGAGCATGCAGAAATTAAAAATTATTACAAACGTACTGAACCCACGGTTATGTTTCATCCATGTGGGATGAAGCTCATATTTGATTAGATGACTTCGTAAATAAGAGTTGTTGCCCCAGTAGTGGAGCTGGGCACAAAAATTAACTAATGGCTTCGATTTTATATAAACACGTTTCACTGGGCCGTCTACTCTTTATACTCGACGCTTTTACCAGATACTACCGCAACCTAAAGTCTTGTATGTTGCACAAAAGACCGCCAGTCATCTTCCAAAAGGTTAAGATTTGGTTTTTTTTTCTCTTGCTATTCATCTTTTTCAGATTTGAGGCACAACAAATATAGAGCTCACATAATATCATCGCAGCGATGCGTTAAATTAAGTAAAAAATAATTTATTCGAAATCCATTGTAAACTTTGCCTTCTTCCCTATCTCTCTCACTATCAACTAGGCCCTATTAGATTGACCGACCAAAATTTGAGGTTATATATCTGTCTATTTTCTTTTCAATATGATTTAGAAATACTAGAAGTGAAAAAAAAAATTTTACTATACCCTAAATTTATCGAATACGTGGCCGTTTCGGAAACTGACGATAGAGAGCAATAAATTGACAGCATATTTAACGCAAAGACTTGGACTTGAAGACAATAACTAACGACGTTATAGTTTCGGTACACGAGGACATATCGGAAAATTTGTTGTTTCGCAAATTTATTATTAATGACGAGGTTCATCTTTGATTCAATCGTTAGTCCTCTTAATGAACGAAGTTATAGCATTCGGCTAAGCTATCAAACGGAAAGTTTAATTGATATCAAATTACATTCGCTGCTTAGGCCAGGCAAGGGCAGACATAATTGGGCCGGACTTTGTTCTCAAACACGTCTCGCTAAATCATTGAAAGCGAAACTCGCTGAGGGATTTAATTCTTAGTGATAAATCTTAGAAGTTTGCTATGCTGTCAGTGCAGGTCGGAATCGGTCTGCATATGGTCTTGATTTTGGAACTCTAATTTAATTTCATCGTACACGTTTGTCCGTCTGTCTATTTGTATTATTTGTATTCCTTAGCTTCGCAAACTCTATTCTTTCAACTGTAATTAGTTTCCACAAACCAAGCGCAGATAACTTGTGATCTGTTAAAGTTTGCGGTAAATAAAAAGCCGCTGTAGCCATTGGCCTGCCTTGAAACGATTTTAACGTGTTCGATTTGATCGATGGAAAGTTTCATCGCATTTGATAAGCAGGAGTCAGGAACTTGTACTTAAGTGCGATATTGAATTAAAATTTCAATGAATCGGGGGCGCTCAAGATTCGGATGAAATGAAAGCGATCTTGTTATGTCTTCTACTTGTCTCAATTAAGAACTAACATTTATTTAAATATTTAACTTACTTTTCGTTTTATTTGATTGTTTTTCATTTTTACTTTTGATTTGATAAACATTTTTAAAACTATTTTTTTTTTTTTTTTTTTTTTTTACATTTATTCATTTATTTGTATTCTTATTATTAATTAATTTATTTATTATATTTAAACAATACATAGTACTACATACTTTCGCTATATTAATATTATTTTATTTATATTTAAATAAATTTTTATTCATAAATTTTCTTTCCTTTACATTTAGCTAACAGTGAGAAAGAGATAATATTTGCATAATTGTTTCTTGTGTTATCCTAAATAAATCATTTTAACAAACTAGAAAAAGAAAAAGAGATTAAATTACTTCAAATGAATTTTATTATGAAAATGATTATTTTGTATTCACTTGCACTTCTTGTTTTGTTGTTGTCAAGATTAGTAAAAAATTTTGATATTACGTTTTTAATCAGGAAGCAATTTCGGAAAGAAATTTAATGACATAAGAAATATGAATTTATTTTCGTTTCTATATACATTCAGATGTGCGTTCAATTTATTTTAATTTAATTTAATTACTTTATATAACAATATATATTTTTTAATTTTGAGTATTCTGTTCTTTTAGTTAAAAAATGAGTTTTTGTTCGTTTTTTTTTTTCTTCTTTTTTGTTTTTTTTTTTTTTTTTTTTTTTTTACAAAACTTTTTAAACATTTTTTTCAATATATCTTTTATGACCTGTCGACATTCAATTATACATACAGTCGTGAGCGTTTACATCAAGAGAGAAGTTAACAGAGCGTAGCGTATAACTCTAAACAAAAGTTTTTAAGTATTCTGTTTCGCGCGCTACGTTCTTCTATTCATATGTTCGGGACAAATTATTGCACCTTTCGATTTTTTTTTTTTTTTTTTGCTCAGAATTACGTGAATAAACAAAAGACTTAGTTCTAATACTACTGTCGGTAAGCCATCATTTCATTGAAGTTTATAAAACGCTGAGTCGCTACGGTTGCTGTTACGTAGTGATGGGAGGAGGAAGGTCATGAAATGCGATCGGGTATATGGGTTGTGTTATGAACAGAGGAGGAACTATTTGTGCTACCACCGTACAGAGGATGTGATGTTCCTTCACTTGTGCCCATGGACGATGAAGGCGATGATGATGTGTTGCGTTGATCGGGTTCTTGATGAGTATAAATTGTGCTTGCAGCGACTTTGTTACCGATCATTAACGGTGATCTTGGGGCTCCTATTGGCGGTGTAGCAGAGTGTGGGGAATGAGAATCGGATGAAGGTCGTCGACAAAAGGGATTTAAACCATTAAACTGTGCGGCATTTAAGAGATGCGGTGAAAGATGTGGGAAAGCCGCCAAACCCGGAAGACCTGGAAAAATCAAGGGGTTGCCCGGTTGTTGTAGCATAAAGCGCGGATCGTTTAAAAATGTGGAGGCGGCATCAGGAAAGCCCGTTAATGTGGCATTAGCTGGCGGGAAATGCTTTAGAGCCTCGAAATTTAAAGGAGGTAAGCCATGAGCTGCGCCCGCATAAAGTCGTGCTAAAAACTCAGCTTGCAAAGTGCTGGTTATACTACCTGGATTGCTGTTCACAAAACTCTTTCCACTCATTACGCCAATTGGCTCTGGCAAATGATCTACCGTATGATTATCGCCAGTTGATAGCAGTTTTCGATGTAAATTTAAATTCGAACTATGACGATCGCGGCTTCGTTTCGAAGGAAAAGCCGCATTACAACCGTCGATATTACATTTGTGGTGTAGTTTTAAATGTTCGCATTGATAGTGAGTTTTTAAATGAAAATGATTTTGAAAAACATCACCACACGCTGTACAGCGTAAAGGATTTTCTTTGTCAATTGGTACTTCTCCTTCATCGTTTGTAAATTCTACACCATTGTGTTCCTCTAGTTCGGAAGGCTGAGCTTTCCTAGACTCTACTGGGTCAGCGCTGCTGCTTTTTACAGTCAAGTTCTCTGGAAGAATATTATTATTGTTGTTGTTAGCGTTTTCATAGTCCTCTTCGGTTGATATGTTCAATCGAAAACTATCTTCCAATATTTCTTTCTTAATGCGCAAGTAACGATTCTCCTCTTGTTCTATGTCTTCAGTATTGCAAGTATTTTGTGTAACTTGTATTGAGTTGTCTAGCAGCAGGTCATCTTTAGGCTCTTGTTTAATTGTCGGCATTAACAAAGTTTCTTTACCATTTTGTTGTTGTTCTGCTTCAGTGCCTACTAAAAGCTCACTTTTTGGATTCGATGATAAGTCCAAGAATTTTTCTTTTTCTTTTTCGTTATTTGCTTTATTTGATCTTTCCTCTTCTAAATTCTCTTTGGGTTCCATTTTGACTGGAGCACTAATTATGGTAGATTGTTTAACAGTTTCGCTAGCTGACGTTGACGGTGTTAGCGGCGGTGAGGGCAGTACTTTGGCTTGTTCAGCTTCTGTGGCATTAGTTTCAGGTTGAGATTCTTCTTTGGCGGGTTCTTCTGGATAACGACATCGTTTCCTTAAATCTAGGGTTGAAGAATTCTCTTTTTCTTGATTTTCTCTTTCCCTTGTTCTTAAAGATAAATCGGCAGCCATTTCAGAATCTACAGAATTATCACAGGAAGCTTCATTAGATTGTACAGCACAGCGTACAGGATTTTGGCTTTTGCGTTTACGTTTTGATGACGAAGATCCCGACGGCATTGTAGCACTATTCGATGTTATATTCACAACTAAGCTTGTTGATGAAGTGTCGTATTCTTCGCGCACGTCGCAAGAATCAGCAACGCTTAAAGTGTCATCATTGCTTTCAGTACTATGCTTCCCGGTCGTACTGCGTCCATCTTCGTCCTCATCTTGTTTTGCATTATCCGTAGTACTACTAAATTGATCTTTGGCTTTATGATTATGATGCGTAGGGGTCTTGGAGTTACTGAGACGATCCAAATTATCACGGCTGCTATCTTCCAGCGTAGAGTTGGTTTCTTCGATTACATGGTCTTCAACGTTGAAGTCTTCCGAGTTTGTTTTATCCAGCATGCTATCGCCTTCGTCACCTACCACTACAATGCCTTCCCCTTCGTCGTCGTCGTCATCGTCATCAATATCACCGATGTGTATACCACCATCCAAGCCCTCCTCATCTTCGTCCTCTTCAATCATTCCTTCTGAGCCTGATATATGTCTGCTTTCGTAACGTCCCATAATAGAACTCTCCATATAAGCTCTATGCATGAAGTCCTGACTATGTTTCGGTTCACCTAAACTACCCATTGAATGATGACGCATATCCGGGGGAGGTGTCAACATGGGGAATGTACCAAATGGATTGAGTCCAGGCATAAGACCATTTGGTGTTTGCAATAAAATAGGATGTGGCTGGGCACTACGACCATCATGTGGCGAAATTTTTCGTCGCAAATGCGGTGAGTGTAGTTTAGGATTGGGATTTGCACTGTGACGATTCCTAGAACGCCGAGAGCTAAACATCATATTGCACCCATCCACCGTACATTTATGCATTTCTCGTAAATGAACTGCCGAAAAGTGAATTTTTAAAGCCCCCTTGTCACAGAAAGTTTTGAGGCAAACATTGCATTGAACTCGTTTTTTACCGGTGACTGGATTTATAAATTGTGTACCTAAATTAGCAGGTATCGAACCCCATTGGCGTTTACCAGGTGAATGGTTTTTACGACCTGGTCGCATTCCACCAGCACTCGTAGTTAGTCGTGATAGTCTCTGGGTTTGAGCACCGGGCGAAGAATCATGTTGAAGGGAAGAACGTGGTGGGTGACTACTTTCTCTAAGATTTCTAGAACTTTGGTAATTGTTCGAGGTTGAGTTTACGCAATTCGAAGACGAAGATTGTTGTTGATTTGTGGAAGCACCATGTAGGGAAGTTTGTGAAGTACTACGTGTTGGTGGTGTAAGACGGGAAGTAGATGTTTCTCGCAAATTATCGGCCTCAGAACTTTTTGATTTATCATGTTCCGGTGTTTTAGAGCGCAGAGCCGATTTGCCCAAAGTTAAAGCATTATTTATGCCAGAAAAATGAGAGGCCAAAAAGCTATGAGGCATAGGATTACCAGAAGCGGCAGCAGCAGCTGCTATAGCTGCTACCTGATTGCTTGTCAGACCCGAAGGCAGACTTGACGAAGGCGAAGTAGCATTGGCCATAGTGCTTGGTGGCGGTGGTGGATGTACATGAGGAAGAGGAGGTGGTGGTGGTAAATGAAAGGGCAATGGATGCCCTGACATGGCCATAGCATTAAAGAATTGATTGCTTTGAGCCGCAGCGGCTGCAGCGGCTGCTGCCGCTGCACTTTTTTCGGAAGGTGTAGTAGCTTCGTTGATGCGCCTCCTTGCTTGTGCCAGCATAGCCGCCTGTTGAGCAGCTTGCTGCTGTAGGTGCTGATGATGAGCCAAATCGTTGGGGCTAAGGCGGGCAGCACCCGGTGGAGGTAACCCAGGAAAAGCACCTAAAGCTGCAGAATTAATTTTACGAAAATCAAATGGTTGCATATTCTGTAAATGGTTCAGTGGATTTTGAGACTGTGTGGTCGACGTTGAAGTTTGCAGGGCGTTAGAATTAGTATTACATAAAGCACTAGAGTTGGATGTTGGGGCGGAAGTAAGAGGGGGTGGCGGGGGTCCTGACGCTCCGGGTGTGGTTGCTAACCCGCAATTAGCTGGTGAGGCGGGATTGCGAAAATAATTGGTTAGATGCCCCGGTGGCGGAAGATTGATCGCGTTATTGGTGTTAGTATTTATTACCGTTGGACCCGCAGCAGCTGCAGACAATTTTTGCTGCAATTGAGTTTGAAATTGAATTTGGGCATGAGCCATAGCACTCAAATGCATATTCATGGGATGAGCAGCTCCACGTGGTGGCGATGGCCGCCGACTCGGTGACATAACCATCGACGGCGACGGCAAAGTATTGTGTTGGCTTGCAGTCAAAGAATGGCTTTCATAAACGTTTGCGAATTTTGCAGCCGCTAATTCGTGCTCTATATGTGAACGTCGCCGTGCTAGCTGATGTTGTTGTTGCACTTGCTGCTGTTCGTAGCCGTAAGCAATTGCGGCTGCTTGAGCTTGAGCATGCGCGTGAGCTTTCTTCAAATATTCCAACTCGAAATCAGGTAAACGATGCAAGGGTGGCGGTAACGATAGATTACGATTGGAGTGAAGTGCTGGATGTACTGCTGGTAAATATGATTGGAAACCGTTCCTTTGTTGCGGTGGCTGTTGACTGTTATCCTGATTAATATTCATTAAGATGCTTATAGATATTGCTGCAGGCAATTGTATGTTGTGAGACTAGAAGTTTTCGTTGTTTTTGTTGCAGGTTGAGTTTAAAATTTGCTGTTGAGTTGCATTGCAGATTCAACATCTTGTTCGCTATCGTTATTGAGAGATGATAAATTTCAACGATTACTGCCTGAATCGTTATGGGACGCTGTTAAGAAAAGAAAGACAATGATGTTACATTTTTCGAGTGATGAAATAGCATAAGATTAGACAGACAGCAAAAAAAAAAAAAAAATCGTTAAAACATTGTCAACTTGAATGACACATGAGAAAGAGACCTCACACAAAGTAAGCAAGTAATAAACATTAAAGAGGAGAGGACAACTGATCAGTAAAAATGTAATTTTATTACCAACATGATGCGACAGATTTTTTAGGCCAAGAAATAAGTTACTTCAAATCATAAAGAACTCCAACATACCATATGTAAAAAATAACAGAACGAAGAAATGACATGATTTTACAGACAACTTGACTAGTGTGGCTTAGAGCCACTTAGTAAACAGAATACACAAAGCACCATACACTTCGCTCACACTTGACAAAACACACATGCAGGTTTTATTTGCCAAGAACCTATTGTGGCAAACGAAGACAAATAGAAGGTGAAGACTAAACAAACAATACGATGCGCCATAATCACCATTGGAGAACGGCTGCTTGGTATATAAAATTAATCGTCAAGTTAGTTAGTAATCCATTGTAATCTTACAAAAGACTAAGCTATAATGTATTTAGAAAATATTTTTACATAAATACTTTGTAATCTCTGTACATGTATTTGATTGCAAGAGATGAATTTATATTGTTAGTTATTACCCACGACGCCAAATGGTCGCAAAAAATTCCTAAAATATCATATTCCCGGTCAGTGTGAAAGTTAAAAAAGCTGCCTTTTTCTGACATGTGCTGCAAAGATTGAAATGAATAAATGTCTCTAAAAAGATAGCAAAATGTGGAAAAAAGCTCATGAAATCTATTACAGCCGTAAAGTAAATCTGTATACATATGCCTCTATGATTGGACTACCGATATGTGGCAGTGTCAGTCGATAAATTCTTATTTATTCAATTAAGGTTGTGTAGGTATTCAGTATCCGACCAAAGCTCGAGTAGCTGTCTCACTTATTTTGCATGGTTTTTTTTTTTTTTTTTTTTTGTTTTTCCTGAAGTAGCTTTAAGAGAGTTTGTCGCATACACACCACTGACATTGGCTGGCAGTTAGTCAGCGGTAGTGATGCCAACATTTATGTTTACACGCTTCAAATACTTTACGCTGGCCAATGTCATGCCGTGTTATACGCAACACCACACGCTAACACCAAATAAAGACCAGTTTTATACAAAGATCTTTGTGGTATACAAATAAGAAAGGAATGAATTACTCTTGTGCGTGAATCTAAATTCTTCTCAAGTGCTTGTCTTATATATTTGGTTAAGACAATGGAATACTAAACTGTCATTTTACCGGACTAAACCCAAAATGACAACGCAACAGAATGACGGTAAATTTCGTGGAATGAGAAATATGTCATAAAATATCAATAGCAAAAACTTTTATGAGACCTCTCTACAATCTTTACTTAATTCATTAATTTTTGTTTATTCAGGAAGAACGAATAACAATGGAGCTGACATTCGTTACTTTTACTAGTTGAAGAAAAATTATTATTAATAAGATAATGGGGAACGGGTATTAATTATTGTTTGCCACTGGTTGAATTCGAACGCCTGTTTTTCACTCTATTAGCGAGAAAAGTATACGGCATAGGCACATATGCAATCTTTATGCATATCGTGCATTTCTTGTTTAAGCTCAGCCAACAACCGACAAGTTGACAATTTCGATATAAAAGAATTGCGATAATATTTTCACACCAATGCTAAGTCTAAATGAAATTTTTCCACTTGAAAGGCAATGTTTACACCAACAAAAGAACTATGGAACTATTCCTTTGCTTTGAAAATAACAAAAATGACATCTTTAAACTCATTGTAACTCATTCGTAAATAATTAATCGAAATGGCATGAAATTTCAACAGGAATCACGTCAAGATTTTCTCTTGCCTACATATCCAACATTACATTTACGGGAGCCGCTAATATGTCGGGTTGTTGGTTTTAAAAATTTAGCATAAGGAGCTCCATATCTTTAAATGTTAAATATTTATATATATAATATAATATAGCAATTATATATATATATGCCTGCATTTCTTTCTGTAACAATTTTTATAGTACGTAAACCCGTCAATTTTACGGGTAAATAGTGAGTATCCTCACGGTCACAAAAGTGAAAATAGAAAGGTGAAATTTGGCACAAGCATTCTCGTACCGATGAAGACTATGAACTTGAAAAAATGGGCATGATCCGCTTACAAACACGCCCACAATGCTGAAGAAACTAAACCAACCTCCAAAAAACCAATATTCGCCAAAACTACCTGCGTTGTTTCGATCCGTTTACTAATACATTCATAATTCTTAGCAAAATTTGAATTTCAACTAAATGCCAATTTGTTTTCCTTTTATTTTCCATTTATTGTAACGCGCATTGAGACGGATATTACCGTGGCCGTGTTAGTAAATCGTTTGCAACTCTGGACGACAGGATTTTGAAGACATGTTAATAGATCTTTTATCAAAAAATTGCTGATGCTTTCTGAGATTGTTTTAGTTTCTTCCACATTGGGGGCGTGTATATGAACAGATCATGCCCATTTTTTAAGCTGATAATCTTCACCGACCAAAGAATGCTTATGCCAAATTTCAGCTTTCTACTTTCGTTAGCGATGATTCATGACAATTGCGCCTGCGCCCATGCTATACGGAAAAGAAGAAACTTTCCATTTTCGTAGCAAACAGTAACGAAAATAGAAAAAGGTTTCGCTTTATACCCATCCCTCATGGTATTAATTATAGATTATTTTCTCCAAATCGAATAATGAACGAATTCAAACGCCATAATACCAATTCACTCGTTTTTGTTTATTTTAATAACAGGCAAGGGTTTACACTTTCTTTCAACATCATATGCACTCTACGCAAGCGGGATTAATAAAAAGTATTCACGCGAAATAACATTTACAGATTTTGTACTAACATTAAAGATTGCTTTCTTCTTAACGTTTTAATCCCTTTTCATGAACGATAAAGCCATTCAACTAACCTATGTAATTTTGACACTTTTAACGGGCTTTAGGTTTTAATCGATAAAGCAAATGGTCAACCCTTGCCTAAGCTACGATCATATTTAGTCAGGTTTAGCGCATAAATAACACTTCGTTATCCGTACACGTACTACACACACTTAGCTGGCTGTACACTAAGATTTTGTCATAAATATTGACAGAGTATATCTGCACGGGTGTATCACAAGTGTATACATCATCAAACAAGTATAATGCGATTAATGTTATTAAACGTTATTTTTTTTTTTTATTTATTTTATTTTATTTATTTTTTTTTTTTTTTGCTCTTTTCAAGTATAAAAAACACGTTCATTAAATTTTCAACATCAACAAATTGTATGTAAATGACCGTACTTTCATATAATAAATATATAGAAGTAATCTTAGAGGATTTGGAAAGAAAAAAAAAAAAAAAAAAAATCGTCATGACTGACGTTATTGCAGAGTCAATAAAAACTTGTATGTTTATTGGACGAAGTAGAAACTATGTGTACATAAAAAAAAAAAAAAAAAAAAAGAAAAAAAAAAGTAAAAAGCGAAGTGACATTAAGTTTTTAGCTTAAGTTTGGTGCACTGCGGTGTTAAAACTTTTTATGGCATAACGTTCATTACATTATACGTTTATATTAAGTTGAATATTAAAAAACTGCCTGTATATCTGCATGCATATGTTTTTATGTGTTATTATAATATGACATATTACAAACGATTAAGTTGTATCATCGACATGTCTCAGATAATTTATGCATGTTTGTGTGATGATGCGTAACTTGTATCAATAACAAATCTAAACTTTCCGTAATGATAACTTAGGTGTAGAAAATCCTTAACACATTTCATTTAGCATTACTATCAAATTAATTTCAATTCAATTAAAAAATTCTAACGAGGACTGCAGCAGATAAACAAATGAATTGATTGAGTGAGACAAAAAGAGGAAGGGAGAAAGAGAGAGAGTGAAAAAGAGAGAGATTACAGAGATAAGTTTCTAGTCGAGTCGAAATGATTATTCAATTTAATAGGTGATCTAAAAATTATTCAATCCTTAAACGAGTAAAATTTCATCATTTCATGCATTCATGCCCCGTCCGTACTTACCAACGCAAATATTTGGAGTCAATTCTAACTACATTGCATTATCAGGCTCAATACTTTTTCTAATCTATTTTTAACATTCCTAAAAAGTTCGATTTATGCTTTTTCTTAGCTGTTGGAAATTTATTCACTTAACGTGTTCGAAAGGTGTGTCCGTAGGTATTCTAAAGTCGCTGGTCGCGAACAAAGTCACGAAATGTACGCTGCAATCTGCTAAGTGTTAATTTGCTCACTGCTTCTATTACAGCGTACATGAAATTTGTGTGATTATATACAACATCAACATTAAGGTGGAGCTAGATTCCATTATGACTGGTGTTAGTCCGCCCATAGATTTAATTTGCCCAATCTATCCGTGGCAATTCTTTCTGTACGAAAAATTCTCATTCGAGGGGCCAGATTTTTCAAACCCCTTCCCATACCCAACCGGCCTCACAGAAGATACCCACTATATCGTCCAATCTCTAATATTTCATAGTGAAAATAAGATCAAAATATGATAAAGAAATTAACTATTGCAAATTTGGACCACGTATGTCTATGCTTTTGTACATCACGCCATGGAAGGTTTCACATGAAAACTAAAGCTTCATATGGTAAAAAGTTATGACGAAAATTGCCCCACCATAATAAAATGTGACAGAGAGAAACTAACTGTTTGAGCCGCATAGCTCTACATTTTGAATACAAAAGAGTGTAAAGATTCTGACGAGAAGCAAGCTTTCATATGACAATAGGGTGCAAATTTTAATAGTCTAACGAAAATAGATAAAGAATGATGGAGACTGTGATCGTAAAATTAAATGTTGAAATTTGGATTACATCAGCGCATGTTTTAAGCCCAATCCCGTATATGGCCTCC